CCCCATTCCCTGACATATTTAATCGATACTTATCTTTACCTTTAAATGTTTTAAGATTTAAGTTTTTTTTCAAACGGCTGCCCACAAGGGGGCAGCAAAAAGAGCCGCAAATGGAGAAGACAAAGAGCCACCACCGCATGCGGCTCCCGGAGCCGCAAGGTTGCGGACCCCTGTCCTCGGCATACCGGTTCCCGGTCGCCTGTCCTTATGGCCACACCACACCCCACTGTGTGTTGTGCTGTCTGTGCCCGCCTCAATACATTCTCATCGTACCCGCGAGCTCCGGTCTCTAATGTTCAATGAGTGTTGCTGCCCGCCTCTGCGTGCCGCACTCGCAGGCGAAGAGCGTCGTAAACGTGAGAGTGAGATGAGAGCACGTGAATTTGATTCAGCGGTCACCATCAGCTGTTCTCTATCCACTGCTGGACAATACCCTCGAAAGTGCGTGGCTATGAGCACATCTTATTAGTGTGTGTGTGTGTGCGCTTGCAAGCTCGTCTCCAAATTTGTTTGAGTTATCCCCTGGTTTATATAGGTTTTCTCCAGCTACTCCAGTTTCCATTTCAGTCGCAGAAAAATACTCAACACAGCACGGTGGACCAGGCGAACAGAACTTTCCTGTAGCAATAACGGGGCTAGTGAGACTTCCACACGAAAACAACTACGATCTTATTGACTTTAACCCAACAAAGGTGTAATTTCCCTTTCCTGAAACCCTATCCCTCGGGCTTTGGCCCAGCAGAACGAAAATCAGTAACAGCTGTCCTCCATTTGGAGGGAATGGCTCCACCATGGGAATGGGGAATTTTCATTCAATGGCTCCAGGCTGCCAATACAGACGTGACAACTCAATGCTCATTTGGGCTTTGAGATACTTTGAAAAATGTGGCCACGTTATATCCTTATTAAGCGATAAAAAGCACATCGACTTTGTATGTGTTCATGTACGTTGACCTTCTTTCGCACCATGCGTAGCCAACAGTGCTAATCGGAGGTGCGAAACAAGTTTTTAGTTAAAGTAGTGCCCTGAATATGCGCACAAAGTCAGGGTGTCTTCCTGCTCAATAATGCACGTGGCCCTGAACGTGTTGAAATATTCCATCCTATAAGCGGACCTCGCACAATGGACAGTTAGCACGGGCCATGCTTGGAGCGTTCCCATTTGCGCGGCAGAGAGGGTCGGAACACGGGGCGTGAAACGTAGCCGGCGTTCAGCGCTTGGTGAGAAGCGGTTCTTGGCTTGCTTCTGGCTTCAGGGAACACAGCGGCACGTCTTCCACACGGCATGACCTTCTCGTAACCCGACACACAGCCAATGTCAACGTGCAACGGTGCCAAATTTATAGCGTCGTCCCCAGGCCTTTTGCCGCGCGGTTCGAAGATTGACGAGGGATTTACACTCGCCCCCCCCCTCCTGAATTTTAAAACCTCCCCGAAACTTCATTATTTGTTAGAGCGTGTCCGACCTTGTGCATAATGGCAGTAACATATTTCACAGGGAAGTCGTGTGACTGCTGCCTTGGGCTCGTGGGAGGATGTGGAATGGGGGAGACGCTCTCACATTCTCTTTTTCAACGGAGCCTCGTGATTCCTGCGCTAAACCCAACGAGGCTGCGAGCTTTCACCAGGATTGTGTCTGTGTTATGAGTGGTGGCACATCCCTGCCGTGCAGCAGATGTTCTATAATACAGTCCAGGGCATCAAGTAGCCAAGATTGAGATAGGGTCTATACGTTAATGCATCCCCGCATTTCGTGACAGTCTTGTTCCGTTTTAACTTCCGACTCTTCCAAATATTCGCGTCTGGATTTTGCCACCGCCTCCGAATGGTTATGGTTAAGAGGGGTATGATGCTGCGTTGCGTGACACTGGGCCAAAGTTTAACTGCTATGCGAGCACGTCTTATAAAAGTAACTCTGCTGTGTGAGCTACCATATTTTGCAATGAGAGTATAAACAAAGTTTACCGCTACCTCTGAAATAATCGCACGTTTTGTCCATTTCTCAATTTTCCTCCAACAACTGTGCCATTGGCATCACGTCACGAGATGAAGACTCCATTTGGAAATCTCAGAGGGCAGTGCAACCCCTCGTGTGTTGGAGAATGGTCCATGGAAGCGAATTTTAATGGAACTTATTTTCAGATTCATTCAAGTGACCTTTTATCTACACACTAGGGGCCATACATTTACCTAAGTGCCCCATTGTGATGGAAATGTTTGATGCATGATATTCAAACCAATATTTTTACATTCTCAGAGCTGGCAATTTAGCCAAATTAAATGAAACACCAAAAGTAACGTGGTGGGCTTTTTTTGCGTATGACATTCTTGAAGAATCACGTGACATTCTTAAGTAATAATGGCACAGTCGATATAAACATTGCATACCTCCAAATAAAACACCAATAGAGATCAACAGTATCAGATGCCCCAGCCAAATAAACCAGCACTGAGCCACTCACCCTCGAGGGCCGTCCGATCATTTATGCATGAAATTACCGAAGCAAGTTGCCAATGGTAAAGTGGACTTTAAAGACCAGAAGACACGAATCATCACTCGCAAAATAAAACAATTGTGTCATTGCTAACAGGCCACATGCTTTACTTGTCAAATCGCAACTGAAATAGTATTAAAATACCGTAACAATGATAAATAATATTGTAACTGTCGAAAAATTGGCGCGGTGGGTAGCGCACTGCGCAATGTACCCGCCTACATGGGTTAAACTCCTAGCCGAGGCTAATGTCAGTGGCGAGTGATGTCTGAACTAGTCCTGCCACCCCCCCCCCCTTATTCGCCAACCCTCAATGACCAATGTGGTGAAGTATGGTCAAACAACACCATGACCAACACGGCACAAGGAGGCCTTCGTCCAGCAATGGATTGAGAATGAGCTGTAAATTAATGCAGAGTAATTACGAATCATTACAACAACGTGACTGTCGCTATGTGTGGCCAATTTAATAGCGCACTTGGCCAATGGGGCTCAAGGAGTCGAAACCAGTGTGCCTGCTCGAATAGATGCCACAGAAACTCATTTTCGAGAGAGAGTCCAGAGAACAAATGTCAGTTATATTGTAAACTTGATGACACGGACCCTTGTCTGATTATAATTATTGCTCATCTGCGTTGCGAAAAGACTCACTCGCAAAAAATGGACACTTCGGGTTAAAGTGGTCAAACGAAAGGAAAAACATTCCTTTGATCAGACAATGAATATCAAAGAGTCAAACAAACACACCGGGACAATGGATCTCAAATGCTTTGTTTTGGCAATCCAGATAATGAATGTCAAATGGTTAAGTAAAGAACGTGTAAGAAAACACTCAAAGTGTCTCCCTGCTCAAGTGAGCGTGGGACGGTGCTTATCCAATGTTTATGGCCACAGAGCCAGTGGACGGCAATTCCATATTCTAATGGCGGGAGCAAGCCACTCCATAAGACAACCACTGTTTCACTTCACACAAAGTTGCACTCGGTCAATCAACCCTAACGAAACATTCCTATTCGTTTATGACAGTCAGAGACACAGAGCGTATGGATGTTGGACCTCTATCGCACCCGACGTAGCCAACCGTGCCAATCGGATGTGCGGGGGAAAGGACAACAAACTAAACACAAAAAGCAGTTTTAAAAAACAAGTCTTCAATCTTTATTTAAAAGTGCATAGCTCCAGTGGCTTCCTAATCCGGAGGTACACGTCTACTAGATTACATTCGTTTGTGTACATTTTTAGGTGTCATCTTTCGTTAGTGACAATTTGCAGCTGAAAAAAAACCAAATCAACTGGCGTATTTGCCCACGTGACAACTGGATTTGATTGGCTGTCGGCTGGTGGAGGGTTGTTGTAAAACAATTACATTTCAGCTGCACAATCACGCCCAAGATGAAGCAATTATGAATCGTATTGGTCGAGAAAGTCTATGGATTAACATCACTTGCAATTTAATTCGTAGGCCCTTTGCAGCGCTGACAGCCAGTGGGTTCTGGTAACAATAGGTCTAGACCTTGCGTCAGCAACTTTGAACATTAAAACAAAGACCCTCATCACTGTAAATAACAAAGATCCCCCTTAGAGACATGCAGCCGCCTGTTGGGACAAGTGCAGTCAGCGGGCTCCTTTGAAAGCTGACCCGAGGCATGATGAACGGCTGCGGCTCGCAACACACCCGGCAAACGTAATTCACACGCTGCGCCAGGTACTCATTTGTAAGGCTGAGGTGACCTAGGGAAGACCCAGGACCGTTACAGATATTCGTCACTGATATTTGGGTGGCCGGTTTCGAAGCGCAGAGGGCCAAACCGCTGCACCACCCGCTCTCCGCCGTATACAAAGACAAAGATCCCCCGTATAGCCTTCAACAGTTTATTGGGGGCAAGTGCCTGTCGCGAGGGAGTAGGTGGTCAGCACCACGCCCAGCCACCTGTCTCGCTAATGCTGATGTTTAAAAAGCGCACCAGGTACTCTCATTTAAGGTTGAGTCTACCTAGGGGAAGCCCGAGATCGGTTCAAATATTCGCCAGTTATGGGTCATCCTGCAGCGCTATCCAGCACAACAATGTCCCACAAAGACAATGATCTGTCCGTATAGCCTTGAACAGACTCTTAGGGTAAGTGCTGTTAGCGAGCACCTATAAAGGCCGGCACGGCACACGACGGTTGGGTGGCCAGCACCACGCCCCGCCGTCTTTGTCTCCCCAGTGGCGATGTGTACGCACAGCACCAGGTACTCATTTGAGGCTGAGTCGACCTAGGGGAGGCTCTGGATCGATTCAAATATTCGCCAGGGTTATTGAACTCCGGTCGCTAACCACTGCACCCCCCCTCGCCCCCCAAACACACACACATCACGGTGCAGCCCTTTCAAACACAACCGCGTCACGCACAAGGACAACGATCACCCCCATATCGACTTAAACAGGCTCTTGGAGCAAGTGCTATTAGGAAGCACCCTGTGTCCCAAACACACAGGATAGAGGAGTTGTAACTCGGGCTCACCTGTGTAGCGTGTACGATCCATTGCGCTTGAGACGCATGCTGGCCCAAATGGCCCGCAGGAGGCGTTTGGGGCACACGTTTGCAGATGGATGGGCGACCGAGGCACAGAATACCACGTCCACGCTGACTGGCACCGCCAATCGGAGAGGTGGCGCCCAGAGGAGTCGACTGACTGAGGGTAACAGTGTGCTGCTGCTTGGTTAGCTGACCAGATGGCTGGTCACCCGTTTGGTTAGCTGGCTACGCTGGCTGGAATGCAGGTGGGCTGTTTGGCTGGTCAGATTTGGCTGGTTAGCTGTATAATTCGCTGTCTGGCCGAATAGCTGGATAATAAGCTGGATGGCTGGATGTATGCTGGGCTAACTGCCCGCCTGGCTGAGTGATTAATTGTAATGGCTGTGGCTGACTGTTTAAGTAACTGCCTGATTGGCTGGCTGTGTGGCTGGCTGGTCAACTAAGAGGCTTGCTGGCTGGCCGGCTCAGCTGTGGAGAGATGTGCTGCCAAGACGATTTTATCCAAAGAGCTATGGCTGGGCAAGCGTGGATTTCTTTACAAAGCCGACACTCCTTTCAAATCAATTCTTCGTTTATTAACCGTTTTTTACGTGGTTTATATTCGGAGTTCAGCTCAATTGATGAACAATGTGCAGTTTATAGTACTGTTATGTAATTAATATTTATTTATTCGACTTTTGTTTGGCATTGGTTAGATATTTTTCGCCTCTGTTTTATGTTCGCTGAAAGCGTATTTGTACTGGGCTGTGCAATAAAATGTCACGGAAATTTCTGCAGAATTTATTTAATCTATTGCTTTAAATATTTTGCACAAATGGAAATATATTCCCAAATCATGAATGTATTCTCCTCATTGAATTTAAATGTGGAATATTTTTACATATATGTATTACTCGTTTAACATATATTCAAAGGAAATAAAAGTATTGTTAACACTTGTTATTGTTAAAGAAAAAAGATAAGCAATCACTGAATAAAATTACAATACAAATTTTGTATAAAAACTATTCTTAACGTGCTGATCATTATTATCATTAACAAATATCACTTTGCGATTCTGGAGAAAAGTATTGCTTTAATTCGTACTTGAAGACCGTACTGTACCCGCTTGCAACGTGCAACGTTTTTTTTTACATAAACATTTAGAAAAATGCCATCTGCACCACGAGCCGCAGCAAATGCCTCTCTCCCTCCCTTCCTCTCGCTCGCTCTCTCCCCTTCCTCTCCCCGCGTCTCCCTCGCTGGCGATTTCAGAGCCACACAAATTCGACGCAAAAAAAAAGACTAAGGCTGCACATTTGGCGTACGCTGTCACCTCCGCTGCTGCTCCCTTGTACCGCTGCTGCCGATGCCACTCCTTCGTGTGTTCTCAAGAAAGTTCACCCCGAAAAAGTCACAGTCAGTCAGCGCGCGCGGGTGATTGCTGCGTCTCGGATCTTTGAAAGGCTGGACGTGAGTGAGCGTGTGTGTGCAGAGAAGGCGGCTGTGGAGGGCAGCAGCTGGGAGGGAAGGGGGGGCGGGAGGGAGGGAGGGAGAGAGGCAGGCACGAGGGGAGGAGGAGGAGGGGGTGATGCCGGATTGCCGTGCCTCGTCCGAAACGCACGCAGGAAGCGACCTGGTCTCCGGGACATTTTCGCAGGAAACTAAGCATGGCTGAGCCAACAAAGTCCAGCCTCTCTCCCTCCCTTCTCGCTCGCTCCCATCCGCACTCCTGCTTTAAAAACAGCCCCTGCTGCTTCTGCCGCATGCTGTCACATCCATAATATACATCTGCGTGTGTGTCTGTGTTATTGTGCCTGGGAGCGGTAGTACAACGGTTAGCGCGCTGCGCTACGAACCTGGCGACCCGAGTTCGATTACCCGCTCACTACCAACAGTGACGAATATCTGAATCGGTCCTGGGCCTCTCCTAGGTTGACTCGGCCTCAAATGATTACTTGGTGCGATGTGTAAACATCGCCACTTCGGGCGTGGTGCTAGCTCTCCACCCCTCGTGTGTCGTGCTGGCCTTCAAAGATGCTCAAAAGAACAATATTTGCCCCCACAGTCATTTGCCCTAACGGGGGATCTTTGTATTTGAGAAAGCTGGTGGTGCTGTGGTCTGAGTGAACGACTCACAATGGGATGGTTTGCGAGTTAAAATCGTGGATTAAAGTTGGGGTTGACTCGGAGCATCATGTCTTCGAGGTTGTTAAAAGAAGTTTAATCTTGTGGAAAGCCGATAGTGGTTGTCCTATGGTTAGATTAGCATCCGCCGTGAGAATGAAGAATGTCCACCTTTAGCCGATGTAGACGAACTCAATGCTCGTTTGAACAGGGATTCCTATACCATTTTTTAAGTATCTGTCATTCTGCCAGTTTTTTTGGGCGGAATAGTTTTCATATCAAATGGGGGAACTTTCCACGTTTGGGAATTCACGGGGTGCGCTGATTCCACGTACAAAAATAATGACACACCCATTATGTCACTACGCTTGTCACGAGGTGTGGTGGAATGACCAACAATTGGGCAGGATTAGAGTGTGTTGCCAACGTGCGGAATTGTTGTCAATCTCGATCACAGCATGTGACTTGGGCACGGGGAGTACTAAGAGGGTGTGGCGATCCATTCCACCCAGAGTCACGCCTTCTGCCTAATAATTCCACCTCCATATGACGAGGAATCCCACATCAACGACAGGAAAAAAAATTGTGCAGGTCGGAAATCCACATTGTAGTTTTTCTGAACTGGTGGTTTCCCAATAATGGGAGCTTTTGTACATGCAATGCACCCATTTGTGTGTTTGTGTGTTGTTATGTGAACCTCCATTCGATGCAACAAATAATGTCTGCACTTTGCAGCGAGTGGCACAATGGAGGCACACGCACACATGAAGATGGTGAAGATGATGATGATGAAGACGAAGAATATGCACACGAGGATTACGTGCAGGACGAGAATGTTTAATGATTGTGGTGAAGCCTATAATGATGATGGTGCCGACTATATTCATGCCATTGTTGATGATGATGAGGACGATGGTGATGTTTTTTTTCTGTTTCTGCAGCTGCTACCTCTGACATTGTGTCTACTATTGATGATACTGTACCAGTAAGAGGTAAGTGCCCCTAACATCAGTTACAGCTGCTCTGATCCCCTTAAACGGATGCCTGATGCAGTATGCGCTTGTCCTTTTCACCTATTTAGCCGTATTTAAGGTAACATTAAAACACGTAACAGGCAGGTCATCTCTAGAAGGCTACCGTCTCCCAACCAATAGCAACGTTCCAGAGACAATAACCCTTGAGAACATTGCCAATACTAGAACGGTTGATCTCAAATTATTGGAGGCTCCGATCAAATTCCTCCAAACCCACCACAAGCACTTTCCACCGAAAACGATCGTCCAGCATCTGCCCACCCTTGATGTGTCCTTCCGTGGCAGACCAGTGCACTTATCCCAATTCAAGACATCTCGTGGTCATCGTCAAGAGAAGCGCCTGACCTTCAAGCCTCACATAAAACAGGTCTGTGAAAAGACAAAATCAAGAGTCGCCCTGCTGCAGCAGAAATTTCCTAGGACCACCTGGGGCACCTCAGTCTGATGGTCTGAGAACTGCCACCCAATCGCTGATCTACTCAGTTGCAAGAGTCACTGCGCTCTAGCCTTTTTACGGGAGATCGTACACAGAACTGCTGGATGCACAATTCAATAACGCGATGCGCATTGTAACCAGAACACTGAAACCGACACCAAATCCCCTGGGGCTCCCTGTTTTTGCCGAAAGTTCTACCATCAAATATCCACAGAGATTAGCAAACTGCAAGGGAGTTCATTTGCTTTCTTGCCAGCAACAACCATCTACCAATCATCAACAAATACCTCAACAATGTACCTCGCCGTTGACTCCAATCCCAATCCTTTTCTCTGGGATCGCACTGTAACCTTGCTAGAATCTCACCCAGATCCCAAAGAACACGAACAAACGGAGTGGAACAAATGCGGACGTTCGAAATAACAAAAAACACCTCGCACGAGACCCACACATGGCACCTCCTGGCTGTGAGATACCTCGAAGGCACCGGCGGTGTAGCCATGAACCGCATCAGAACAGCAGCAGGGCAATGCGCACATCTCCTTCATGAATGGCACATTAATTAAAAACAAGCCACAGTGGTTTCGACTGTGGTAATGCAACGCGTACGATGGATGGTGTCGTAAATCACTGGAGTCTCCACTCCTTCAACAGAGGAATAGCAAAACCAGACGAACTCACATGGCTAGCAGACCTCCACATTGGTATTGAACTCCGGAACATATTGCAAGTGATACGATTGGTGTGGGTTGGTGCATTGGAGATTTGTGGATCATCATCATATGCAGAAGCAGACATCATTATCTTCTTGGTTATTTCGGTAAAGTCATGAAAGCTTTCAATCGAAATTCAGATATCATTACCTTCATTGTAACCATCATATTCATTGATTCTCATAACAATCATTGGTATCATTGCCATGCTCATCCTCGCAATAAAAACTGTTATCATCATCATTGTTTTGATGTGGCGCTAGAATTTCTCGGTGGAGGGCAAAGCAACCCACACATTAGTGTGCACATACTTATCGGGTTCCCATATTTTATATGGAGTGCTCTTGCCAATAACGTAATTTCTTTCAAATTATCTTCACAAGTAAAACCCCACTTTTGTTTACCAAGTGTGAAGGAACGTCTGCGTGGGCCTTTGGCCCAGATGGTTTCTCTAAAACGTAGAGATCCGGCTCAGCATGGAACAGCAGGGACTGACGGGGTAAGACAGGGGAGTAGGTTTAGGGAGATAGATGAAGATAGAGGCGTGGGTAAAGGGAGAGAGGGGACGAGAGGGGGAGCAGGGCATGCATAGAGGAAGGGGAGATGGGGCCACATGAGTGTGGGAGGCCACGTGTGAGGCAGAGTCCACACTGAATCCTTCCACTCACAGGCGTCCTGATCTTTATTCGCATTCCACATCGCAGCAAAACAAACGCCCGCTCACAAACAAGAAGCTCGGGACGGTACCCAAACTCTGTTTGCGCGGTGGTGCCACGGTTAGCGCACTTGCGCTACCAACAACGGCCACCCGAGTTCGATTCTCGCTCATGTCCAATAACGGTGGCGAGTGTCTGACCCGGTCCTGTGTCTCCTCTAGGTTGACTCAGCCTTAAATACGCACTTGGTGCAGTCTGTAAACAAAGGTGGAGGAAAACGCGCCGTGCATAGGCGCTCTCTAACAGCACTTGTCCCAGTCTCTAAAGGCTACACAAAGAGGGCCCTTTGTTTTTGTGTGGGTGTGTGTGTGCTTCGTGAACACCGATGAAGGCCGGCATGGCACACGGAGCAGCGCACTGAGTAATCGCTCCAGGCTGACTTGGCTTGAGGGAGGCCCGGCCCTAGGTTCAGATTGCAGTGGCCGGCGTGTCCGCGTTGTTGTTTGCGGACACGCGGTCGAACTCTGGACAACTGCGATGTGCCCAGACCACGACTCCATCTAGCGCTGCCCAACTGCCCTGGACTCATAGACGCGCTCGCCAACAGCAGATGCCCGTACAGTGAATATAGTGCTGAAGGGAAGACCTTTGTCTCAATCGGCGTGTGAGTGTGTTGTGTTATTGTAACTCGAGCAAACGCATAGAGGTACTCATTGGTCTAAGGCACTGCCCCCCCCCCCCCACCACTTTCCCCTTCACCCCCCACCCTCGGCGGACTCGCTTTCCTCCCTTGAATGCGTCACTTTTAATATGAACCACATGGGCCGTGCCAAAAATCATGTCGACATGTTTTCGGTTCGCTTGAGCCAGGGGGCTCTTGGTAGGGGGGGTGTTAGTTGCGAATGCGCGCATTGAAGAGGCTCACTCAGCGAGGAGGAATACCCGCGCCTTGTAAACAGCAGCCTTGGCTGTCGGGATCGAGGGTAACATTGGACGGAGCCAGCCTGCTTAGTCGACATCGTTTGATATTTAAGGAGAGAAAAAAAAAACGTATTTCGTAAGCGCAGCTCGGTCCTGCTGGCATGCAAATGAACGCTGCAGAGTCCTTGTGGGATATAAAAAAAAAAACGCGTAAAAAAACCTTCGATGACATTTTTTTGACGGCATTGTTTCATTATGTCTTCCCCCCGCCCCCAAAATTATGTTCCGATTGTCACGAGATGAAACGTTAATCCATAGCCTCGGTGAAGCAGTACATCATCAGCCTGCGTGTTAGAGAACGGCTCGTAGAAGTAGAGTGTATAGAACTGCTTCTGAGATCCCTTCCAGTGACCTTTGTTTCTGTCGACACACAAGGCGGCGCAGTTTCCTCCATGCCCTGTTGCAGATATATGTTTGTCCTGTGACAGTCAAACTGGTATTTTATAATGATCAGTTACAGCATTTAGCCAAATCTATATAACTAAATCAGCTCAAGGCTCCCATGAATTATGTGACTTATGTGTGGCCTCCCTTT